GAAGTTCAGTGAACATGACCTGAAATATAAAACTGACTCTAAATATAACAAAGACGCCGCTGACGTTACACTTTGTCTTCAGTTACAGTGACTCTGCAAAAAACAAAAACCCACTCACTTCCAGAAGATTTCTGAGGGACTGAGCATCCTCCCTGTGGACATGTTTCCTGTCGTGTTGTTTCCACACAGACCGGCGTTGGCCACGGCGTCACATGACCAGGGCAGTGGGCTCTGGAAGGAGCTGCCCAGGTAGTAAAAGGTCCAGGCTATGATGACGTTGTAGTAGAGACAGACCAGCGTGGACACGCACAGCATCCCGATGCCGATACCTGTGAGCAACGACAGAAGAAGAGCAGCCGAGGGACAGACGTGAGACGACAACAGGACGCTGTACTGTCGCCAGTTACTACACAGGTTCAAATCCCACCGTGTTTAGCACCAAAAATGTTGCTGCCACCTATAGGGCTGAAGTGTGTACTTCAATGTTACCGGTGTGCCAGAAATGAGAGAATTCAAAGATTACCATAATTTCTGGACTTGGTGTGAATTCTAAGATTACCATAATTTCTGGACGTTATCTTACTGTCTTTTTTTTAATAGTGGGCCTGGTTCTCTGGTTACAACTGTGAAAAAAATGTCATACCATCTGTGGCCACAAGTGGGCACCATCTACACTTCTGATAACTGAACACTGAGTCATCACCAGTGAAAAATTAACCATAAAGACTTCCTTCTAGCCACTGATCCTGGACCTGAGTCTGACGACAGTCCAGCAGGAGTTGGGGGCGGAGCTTCATCTTCCTCCACGCTCGGTGGAATTGTTTCAAAGTGAGTCGGAGGATGAATGGATTCAATTGGACAGAATCAGATCAGGAACCAGTTGAACTTGTTATATTGTTACAGGTATATATTTAGGCCGCGTTCTTTAGGCTAGTGCGTCAAGGAATTATCTTTACTGGTTAAACATTTGACTGTGTCAAAATATGTGTGAAATACATATATATATATATATATATATATGTATATATATATATAAATACACATACATGAAGTATTTAAAAGGGAACCAGCCAAAGTCTCTGGTTTTCACTACCTTTCAATAGGGGGCAGCATTTCCACACCATGATGGGTCCAGCTGCACCGTACTGGCCCAAACTCAGCTCCATGAGAAACAGAGGGACACCAGTGAAGAAGAGCATGATGAAGTAAGGGATGAGGAAGACACCTGCGAGGGGAGAGGGAGAGCGACAGGTCGGGGTAAATAATAACGACGATGATGTTCACCGGGCGACGACCTGTAGAGGCAGGTCGACTGCTTTACTGTGAGTCAAGCTCCAACATGTTTGGATGCATCGGCAGAGGAACGGAAACGATGGAAAACACAGGGAACATCACAGGATCGGATTAAGGAAGGATTTTTTTTTTGTTCCCCAATCCTGACACTGAGACTGTGGTTGTCGGCCGCAGCCTGGGAGTGTTCGTATCAAGGTGGAATAATAATGACACGGTGCACACCCAAGGGCGTAAACAGATGACTTCACTCATGCAAACCAACATTCAAAGGTCTCGGAGACGTCAGCGTGCGTGCGTGCGTGCGTGCCGACCACTCACCTCCTCCATTGCGGTAACAGAGGTACGGAAACCTCCACACGTTTCCCAGACCCACGCAGTATCCGATACAGGAGAGCAGGAACTCGTACTTCCCGCCCCACTGCTCCCTGGGTTCAACCGCCGGGGTCAGTGCAACAACTGGAGGTTGAGGGTGAAACTCCGGCTGTGGAGCAGAGGTTGGTGTGGAGGTGTGGCCGTTCTGGGTGACGGCGTGATTGTTGAAATGCACAGAGTTCTGGACGGGAAGATAGATGAGAAACGGTCAAATAAACAAAACAGACGGAGAATCAAAGAAGTAGGACAGCGGTTTGAAAAAACTAGGACCATCAGGGACAAAAAAAAAGTTACTGGTTTAAAAGCGGGATTTAAGATCGGATGACACCGAGGATGTACGTAAAGGATCTGGTTTTACCAGTGAGGTAGAGCCGAGTGTCATCGGCGTAGCAGCGAAAATGACTGTTAAGATATCAGTGTGTGAACTGATGCAGCTGAGCTTTACTTTATTATTATTATTATTATTATTATTATTATTATTATTATTATTTAAAATATGCTAATCAATGAGAAGAAGTGCAGTTTCTTCTTTCATTTTTTTTAATAAAAACGGAGAGGAAGTAGATTCTGTGGTGACAGGTAGCAGAGAGGAAGTTGGATCATCGTGACGTCAGAGCTTCTGCTTGATGTGCCGTTGTCTCTGTCTCTGTTTAAGGACAGTTTGTTTAAAAAATGACAACATATATATGATGAAAATTGACCAGAAACTCCTGTTTAAAGTCCTGCTTAGTTAAACTGTGTCCAAAACATTTATGTTGCAAATGGTGTGTTTTTGTTTGTTTGTTTGTTTAACCAACAGCCCGAACATCTCCTCTCCGAATGAGACAAAAATATAAAGTATAAGTATTTAAAAAAAACAGTACAACTCTGTGTAACTGTGTTTATTAAATAATTAAAAAAAAAACATAAAACAACCGAGAACTTTCCACCGTCCGTGTTTGTAAACAGCGGTTCTGCTACGATTGTTGCTTAATGTTATTAGTTTGAGTTTGTTTTGTTGATAAATGAAATAAAATCCACTTGTGACGTGAAATAACGTGTAAAACTTCGACCTGATCCTGTGACCAGATTGATCAGAGCAGATCTGCTCCGTAAAACGGAGTAATCCGACCGGACAGGTTGAACAGCTTCACCCCGAACACTGTTATCTTTACCCGCTGCTTTGACCTCTGCTCCTCCGGGAGCCACAGAGCTACACCGGTCAACGAACTTCTTACAAACACACACAAAATGGATCATTATCTGTTCCAAAAATAAAAATAAAAATAAAAATAAAGCCAAACCTGGCTACGGTCGCTGCTCGTTACATCCGCACTCGGCGCCGCTGTTTTACCGCTGTCGTCCTGCATTTCTCCCCGAGAGAAGAGGTGTTGTTGTCGGCACCTCTTCACGGTTTATATCCACCTTCACTCCGTCCTCATGTTCAGGGGGAAAGTCCTGCGTGAAACCGCATTGTGTTTCGCTTGGTTCACGCCGACGTTTGAAGGAGAAATGCGCAGAAAAGCCGAGGAGTCAGAGAGGAGGGCGACAGCGACAGGTAAGGAACGGCATCAGCGATGACGAGGAGGAAACGAGGCCGGTGGGCGGTGAGGTGGGCGGGGGGGGCAGGGGGGGTTAGGGAGGGCGCAGGTGCAGGAGAAGAAGAAGGAGCAGGAGGAGGAGAAGGACAACACCCTTTAAAACAAATTGTTTCCACCTTTTTTTCCAGACTTGCCAACCTCCAAACAACTTCCAAACAACGACCTCCTCTCCCGGTATCCAATATATGACGTCACGGAGGATTACAAGCAGGGGCGTACGAAGTGTTTTTCATGGACGGGGCGATGTTGATCACGACACGCACTGAAACGGCACAGTTTTTTAAAATACTTTCTTTTTTTTTTTTTACTTGCCACTGAATGAATGAATCGTGATCCAGGTGAAGGAAGAAAAACATTTATTTATTTATTTATTTGTATATCTGTAAAAAAAAAGAAAAAGAAAAAATCACCTGCAGAAATTAATGCAGGAAATAATTATTTGCACATTTAGCACCAAACCCATCATCAAAAAAGAAGAACTTTTCAGCCCAACATGCTAAGAATTGTGGTTTTGTCACCGAAATGAGAATTTTTTTTGTTGTTGACCACACATCTCAATGCAACTTCCTTAGGTGTTATGACTAAGGCAGATCTGCATCTAAAATACAGACGACCACAGACACTGGCAGCTACTGCAGCACAGGAAACAAACAACAAGCAAAGACACACACGGTCCAAACAGTGGCCCCCGAACCAGCACTTCGTTAGCATTGATCTGTGTTCTCTCGACACAGACGGATCAGGAGTGATGTTTGATTTACTTTCAGGTTTCAGGTGTTTTCTAGAACAATGTGTGTATTTATTACCAGCTGTAGTTGAAGTTGTTACAGTGGTGATAGGAAGTTGTTATTGCGCTTATAAAAACAGCGCTTCTGTCAAAAGCAATTTCCTCTCAGCCCTGTAGCAACAGGAAGTCCTGCAGTTTGCCGTCGTGTTACTTTGACTTCACTCACAGTTGTCATGTTGACCTTTTCTTCATCTTACATCTGTCCATTACTAGAACTCTGGCATTAATCACCTCCCATATACCTAATACACAAATTAAAATTACTTATAAAAATATCTACTAAAAAACACATAATCCCTGAATGATTTCCATCCACGTGACCAGAGTTAATTTTTATATTTTTATTTTTTACATTGGCACTGGGTAGAAAAACAAAGACTTTTCTGTGAGCGCAGGACACAAGATAAAAATGTTTACACGACCGTCACACATCACTGTAGAACAGGCAGAAACACCAGGAGTCATTTACAAAATATACAAAGTATTCACATGAGTATTCACTGACTCCAGTGAGAGAGAGAGTGTTTCATCAGAGTGATCACACAGACAGATTGACACAGACTTCATATCCTGTATGTGCAGCCCTCACCACCAGAGGGCACTCCTCCTTACACACAACAATGTTTTTTTTTCTTACTGCTAAAAACAACAATAATAATAATAATAAAACCAACAACGCTGTGACTAATTGTCAGAGTCAATGTCACTGTCTCCTCCGATCGACCGGAACTCTTCGCTCTCCTCATCTTCACTCAGTTGGACCTGGGACAGAACAGCCGGTCCTCTCCTCCTGCCTTCGTCTCCTTCCTCCTCCTCCTCCTCCTCATCGCTGATACCGTATTCTTCCCCGTTGCCGAGGCTGGACGGCTGCAGCTGACTCCTGCTCTCCGTTTCCTCGTAACTTCCGTAACTGACACAAAGAAAAAGAGAGAATATTTGAACATTTGGACTTTTTTCGCAGCCTTAGCCACCGATGACCTCTGACCCTAGGACTGAGTCAGTCTGATGTGAGTCATGGTGTTGGCCTTGTACCTGACGTTGCTGTCCTCCAGGTGTGCTCCGTCGGCCCCGTCTCCATCGTATGACATCATGCTCTCATCCTGCTCCATTCCCATCCGGGCCGTTTCCTGGGCCCGACGCGGAGGCTGAGGTCGGACGTTGATCTCTCTGTCCGAGTCGCTGCCGCTCTCTGACAGGTGGATGGCTGGAGGACAAAGAGACAAACACCGGTCAGTCAGGTGGACACGGAGACACCTTCCACTGTGCACGATCGTGGAGGACTGTCCTCCAGGACCTCCAGGACCTACAGGAGATTTTTCAGTCTCCCTCTTCTTCGCTGGCGTCGTCCTCTCCGTCCGACATGAGCAGGTCCTGGTACAGAACGCTGGCCTGAGCCGGACGGTTGGATCTGCCGTCGTCTCCTTCATCGTCCTCCTCGTCGTCGTCGTCGTCGTGGTCGTGCACTCGTCTGCGAGGCGGCAGCAGCATCTCGTCGTCGTCGTCGTCATCCTCCAGGTCTCCATCGGCGTCCTCCGCCTAACAGAGCGAGACGGGAGGAGAGAAAATAAAGACAGACGTTGATCAGAGGAAAATAATCGACAGCTGTGGGACAGAAACACGGAGCAGAGAGTTTTTCACTCACAGGAGCAGGAGTCTTGGGTTTGCCGTCGTCTTCCTCCTCAAAACCTTCGATGTCAACGTCCGACTCTTCTTCTCCAGGTCTCCTGCCGTGGCGGCCCTGACCAACAGGATCATAGAAAAACTGGAAACAACGAAAACTTGTGTTAAAAAAAGGCAAAAATTGGAAACTGTACAACACACACGGGAGCAGTGAGAGTTTGAGGAGGAAGTGGGAAAAGAGCGTCTGCGTCGGCCGTACCTGCCCGCCTCTCTTCTCTGAAGCAACCACTAGGGGGCCCTCAGAGAAAAGGCTGCTGGGCTGTCTGGGCAGACTCCCTGACGCCCCGCTGTCAAAGAGATCAGCAGGCTGGCCGAGCACACGCACACACACACACACACGCACACGCACACACACGGCAGAGACAGAAGGAAACGACAGGAGTGAAGGAGGATCAGGAGGAGACTGAAGTGAAGGAACTACAACAGGAAACAGGGAAGTTAAGAAAAGGTGGAGCAGAAACTGGAGTGCCGTCGTACCTGGGGTGTGTACGGCCCCGGGGTCATGGGGTCAAGACTCTCCAGGTCTGCAGCATCCAGAGCCGCCTCCTTGGCCGTGGAGATGTCCTTCTCCAACTGAGTCAAATGTTCGTCGTACTGTGGACAGGAGAGGAGACGGAGGTTACAGCAGGGGGCGCTGTTTTTGTTTGGGTTTTTTTTTTCTGGCAACAAATTTAACCACGCCCACAAAAGCAAACCGGAGTGAACCGTACCTCAGCCAGGGTCTGTTTACACACGTTGACGATCTCTAACGCCGTCTTGGTGTAAGGACTGTCTGGACCTGTGAACGACACAAAAAAACCTTATTAAAAAAAAAAATCATTAAACCACAAAGACCAGGTGTCGTAGAAAACTGACCGTTGTATTTGATGCTGTTGGCATGAACGAGAGCCACGTCTGAGAGGAAGATTTCACGGTTCTGGTATTTGTGTTTGGAAATGTTCTGTAGATTAAACACACACACACACACACACACACACACACTCAGTATTTGTGCTGAGAACGAGAACGTACGTCCTCATGCTACGTTACTTCCACGTCACCTTTCTCAGGGTCTCCAGGTCCATGGGGTTTATGATGACTTTGTAATAATCAGGGACAAACTTCTTGTTGACGGGATGATGGAACGGCCAGGACTGAGGAGGGAAGGAGGACAGATCAGGACGAGGGACAGAATCTGTCTAAAAAACATCTGACTCTGATGGTAATATATTTATAAATAAAAAAAAGAGAGAGAGAGAGAGACGACTCACATCCAGAACCACCATCATCTTCTGGGTCACGATGTTGTCCAGGATGAAGGAGAAGGCCACCTGGTCGTCGTCGTCCAGCAGAGGGTTGATGGCTTTCTCCAGCCGCACCAGTCTGTCCTCCTTCTGCACAGACACAATAAAAAGAATGGTTTTAATGTTTATTCTCAGTCTTTTCTCCATCGTACAGCCCCGTCCACTGACTGTCAGTGAAAACACAGAAGAAAACAACTCCACAAACACACACACACTGACACACACACACACTGACCTCTTTCAGCTTGGTGTCACACAGGTCCAGCATGGACTGTGCCACCTGAGTTATGGGATGTTTGGCACCTGGGCAACAAAAAAAGGCAACGTGTTGATCAATAAAAACATAAATATAATAATCTTTATCACAGTAACTTTGTCAGGTTGTTGCTCTCAGTCCCGATGTGACCTTACCATTGTAGGTGGCGCTGTTTTTCACAATAACCTCCACAGCTTCACGGAACTCGTCTCTGGATGGATACATGCGCTTGCGTACGTTCTCCCTCAGCGTCTGCAGGTCCATGGGCCGAGTGATGATCTTGTAGTAGTCCTTCACCACCTTGGCATTCACCGGAGTGTGGAACGGGTAAGTCTGCGTGGGGGGGGAGGAGGAAGAGGAGGTGAGACAGGTGTGACAGACAGGATGACATGACGGCTCAGGTGTGAGGCGGCTCACGTTGGGGTGATCGCGCATGTCGTTGATGATGCTCTCCAGCACGGAGGACAAGGTCACCATGGGGTCAGTGCGTCTGCGGTGGATGGCCTTGTGCGGCTTCTGTGACAGGAAGTAGAATTACACATCAGTCATGACGGAGGAAGGGAGTTCAGGAGGAGTTAAAACGTCACGTCAGACGCAGCAGCTCACGTTGAGATAGTCACAGTGAATGGCGCTGCCGACGCGACGTTTCTTCTTCGCTGGCAGCTGCTGCTTGGGGAACTTCAGCACCAAGGACTTCCTGCGCACTTCGTCGGCACTGAGGGAGCAGAGAACATTACAGTCTGTCTGTGTGAGAATCTGACGACACGTATCACGACATATGAAGGAAAGATTTTTTTTTATTACTAAGGAAAAAAATAAAAATAAAAATAACCAACAACATGAATATTTGACTGTTAATTTGTGATTTCTAAAAATCAATCCAATGATGTAGAACGTTGATACAGTATCAGGAAATCAAATATTGCAATATTTCAATGTACTAATATTTTCTTGCAGCCCTGCTGTGCGTGTGTTACTGCTGGTAAACACTGCGTACCTCTCTATCAGCTGTTTTCCGAGGACGATCTTCGTTCCCTCCACCTTGATCAGCTCCTCGTTGTCGTTGTGGATGACCGTCTTCTCCAGCTCCTCCTCCTGCTCCTCAGTCATGGCGACTGGGTTCGAGGGAGGTGCGTTGGTTTGATAGTAGAGTGGACAGAACTTGTTGGTCCTCATGTGTCCTATGGCTCCACACGCTCCGCACTTCAGCTAGGGAAGGAGACGAGCATTCAGAGAGGGGGAACAATTAACCTTTGTGTGCTTGACGACAACAGCGCCACACGTGGCCGAAGGTCGGCAGTTGGCTGGAGAGGAGCGAGGAGAGAGAGAGGAGCGAGGTAGTGAATGGGCAAGCTTACTTTTACCTTGAGGTCTGGTCTCTCTTTGGCCTTCTTGGCCTTCTTCTCTGGAGGACCCTTGATCTTGTCCTTTTCCTGGTTCCTCTTCAGTCTCCTCAGCTGTTCCTGAATGCGTCTGCGCTCCTTCCTCATTTCCTCCCTGTGCTGCTCATCAAAGAGGGCGAACTTACGTCTGAAGAAACGAGAGGTAAAAAAAAAAAAAATTCACAAACTGCACCAAGTCAGTAGTTATTCATTCAATCCCTATACTGATCAAACCATGACACTACACACTCTAGTACTGCACCGAGTCAGTGTTTCTACAAAAATAGTTATTCATTCAATCCCTACACTGGTCAGTGTACAGTAGGTGGCAGTATGCACCTAAACACATTGGCTGTGACCCACAAATAAACAAAGACGTCAGGACTCTACGCAGCCTAAGTGACATTCAGGTGTCGAAACGTTTAGGTATATCACCGTCTTCTTTTCCGTTTTCCTTCTCTCCTCTTCTTCCTCTCTCTTTTCCCCTCAATGAATACTGAATAATCACACAGACTTTGAAATGCCATTTTTAACCCTAGCAAATTTTCAGAATTTTTTTTTTCTGACTCAGTGTTTTCCTGTTGTCTAGTTCAGGTTCTTTAGAACTTTTAACAGGAACATGAGAACCGTTCACCTCCTTCCGTCTCCTCTCTCCTCCTCTGCTCTGGTCCAGCAGTTAAAGAACAGTTGGCATCAACGCTGCACAACTGCCTGCTTCTACATTAAAGGATTGTGGAAATTATAAAGGATCTAAGGGGCTTTGGTTTCCTCCTTTGACTCGGCTCAGTGTTGACTGTTGTTCAGGAAGTGACTTCAAACCAGGGCCATTTTGAATGTGAACTTTTCACAGGGCAGATTTTTTAAAATTTAAACATTTTCTTAAGTCATAATGAATTTGGTGGAATGGAGAAGGAACTTAAAACGTTTACATGAACTCGTCGTCCTTGGTGGTTCTGATCCGCATGTAGGCGTCGATGACCGCAGCCTTGCGCACTGTCTCACAGCGGACGTACTCCTTTCCGTCCTCGTCCCTGAAGGTGCGGTAGATCTTCAGGCGCCTCCCGGTGGCCGAGGAGTTGAGGCTGGTGACGGAGGAGGTGTCGTCGTCTTTGTGTGAACTCGTGGACAAGGAACTGGCTGAAGTGGAGAAGAAAAGAAGACAAAAAAAACCAATGACTTTGTTTTCATACTTTCACGTCTGTAGAACGTTGGAGTCAAACGCAGACGTACACAGGCCTTTGCGTCGCTCCTTGCGTCCTTTGTTGTCCCGGTCGCTCTCTTCTCCCATGAGCATCCTCTGCAGTTCCTTCCTCTCCTGCTCCTCCCTCTCCCGGGACAGCTGGGAGCTGGTCTTCTTGTTCTGCAGCATGTTCTCGATGTTCTTCCCCATCTCCTCAAAGTCACTGTCTTCTGCTGAGCTGCTGTCGGTGTCGGTGGACAGAACCTCAGTGGACTCCAGTACTCTGTGGAGGACGGACAACCACGTCAGTAACACACACACACACACACACACAGGTCATTAAAAATAATACCACATTTCCTGAATGAAGTCCTCACTTGTTCTGCAGGTCAAAGATTCTCTGACACTCCTCCTTGTAGCGCTCCTGATGTTCGGCCACGGAGAAACGAGACCCCCGGGCGAATTTGCTCATGGGCCCCTCGCCTGAACGCGCCTGCTCCGTGGACATGGTCCTGACTACGTCAATCACTTCCCAGCGAGAGAGTTTCTTGATCTGAAAAGAACAGGATTTTTAATCTGAGGCAGATTATTTTTTTAATGTTAAAACATTTTTTAATCCAATCACAGTCCTGATGAAAGTCAATCAAAGAAGGTTCCTACTTCCTCCTCTGGAACGCCGAACTTGCGCAGCAGCTGCTTGGCGTTCTTCAGAGAGAGCCTCCTCAGGTCGGCGTCCGTTCCCGTCACCGTCTTCTTCACCTGTTGCGGCTCTTTGTCGTCCTGAAGAAACAAACAGGATCAGCGTTCTGACACGGGAACCAACCCGTTGATGCAGAACCCTCGGTGGAGCCGCACCAACCTTCTGCTGCGTGGGCTTGTTGGGCACTTTGACGTAGGAGAAACCTTCTCCACAGCCCGTCGGGTCAGCCACGCCCGTGACCTCCAGGAGACATTTCCCCTTCATGGCGGAAATGAAGGCTCTCGTGGTGTTCCACGGAGCTGTTCGCACCTGGGATTAAAGAGACAGAACCAGAGTGAGTCTGGAAAAGTTCCCTGTGGAACGCCCGCCCTTCAGAGTGAATCCGTACCTCGTCGTCAATCTTCATCTGGAAGTCCTCCTCGTTCTCCTCCTCTGGGGCGAAGAAGGACTTCTCACCGTAGCCAGCGTCCTGAACAGACGGAGGAACGTCATGGTAACAGGGTTCTCACCAGAGTCTACGACTACGGCAGCATTCGTGAGAGGACGGCACAGTTACCTTCAGCCTCTGCTCTGCCACTAACATGCTGTAATAGGCACAGCACTGCTCTGGAGACACCACGGCCCGGATTTCCTCTTCTGTGGGTAATCTGAAGTCGGGCTTCAGCACCCACCAGTTGGAGTCCATCCCTGGAATGAGTCCATGAACAGAAGCTTCAATAATAAAAAAAAAACCCTGTCTTTTACATTTTAAATAATAAATATTAGTGAGTGTCAAAATGAGACAATGGTCACGATAATTCATTTGTGAAATTAATCAGACAAAATATTTGAAACACATTTTAACCCATGAACAGAACGACACACACTATGGATCAATAATCAACTTATTTACAGATAGATTAGACAGAACTTTATAAATAAAGAGCTTTCATTTCTGGACTATTCAGATCATTATTCCGTCGCGGCGTCTGGTTTTGCCTCATGCAGCAGACTCTTACCTGTGCGTTTGAAGTCGGCACACAGCTTCAGTCGTTTCCTGATGCTGCTCTCGGAGTGCGAGGGAAAAGCTTTCTTTATGTCCTCCATGCGGATTCGGCGCGGCCGGTCTTTGCTCTTCCAGAACAATCTGTAAATAAACACCTGCACAACAGCAGACCTGACAGCTCAGCACTGAGAAGACGGGGTTCTGGAGGAGACCTGGGTTCATTCAACACACCTGCAGGAAGTCTCTGATGTGTGTGTTGGCCCGTTTGGAGTTGGGTCCAGGGACTTCAAAGAGGGGACACTCCTGACCCACCACGAAAATGTCCACAATGTCTCTGATGTAATAGCCGTGTCTCGTCCGCAGAACCAGGAAGTCCGTCTCCCGCATTTTATGCAGGTAGATCGGAGCACGGAAAAGATTGTTCTCAAAGGCCTGGGAGCAAAAAAAAAAAAAATCAGAATCATTTACCTCCTGGTGATTCAAGTTTGAAGAGATTTTTTACTTAAATCTAAGACAGCGCTGACCTGGAGCAGCTGTCCAGGATGAAGGGAGCCCAGGAAGGGAGACGTGTGACAGTAGATGGTCTCTCCGTATTTACAGTCTGGAGCTCCAGGGTCCTTCCCTGGTTTCTGTAAACAAATAAAGGCCAGTGTTGTTTACAACAAACAACAAATCTGCAGCAGCACTGGAGTCGTCTAATATAAAACAGCTACATCATTAACTTAACGAACTAAAACTAAGTTACCGTCGAGTCCAGAGATTAGGTTCAAGTGACAGAGAAAGTTCAGCCTCACCCTTTTGTAGTAGTTTTTGATCTTGGTTGCCATGCCGACTTGCATGATGAGCGGCGCGTACTCCTCGCTGTACTCCGCCAAGATCACGTCTCCATCCTTTCCAGTCAGGTCCTGTGATGTTCTCATGAAGAACATGTCTCCTCCGCCCGACGCCTGTCGTTCCTGTTCTCTCATCTGGACAAAAAAAAACAAACAAACATTCACACATTGAATAAAAGAACAAAAAAACTGTTCCATCAATTTCTAAGTAATAACAATAAATTAATTCTAGTTATGAATGCTAATAATGATGTCTTTTCTCCACCTTGGCCTTCTTCTTGATGTGTTTGAGCAGCGGCTGGACAGGATGTGGACCGGGCTGAGCCAGAGCTCCAAACGAATACTTCTTCAGAGCCGGGCGATGGAACTGGCGCAGCTTCATTGGACCCATGTGAGTGGGGAAGAACGGCTGCCTCAGCTCCAGAGCTGGGATAGAGTGCTGTAGAAAAGATAAAAGTTGGTCTTTAAAAAAAAACAAAAACAACCAAACACTCATCACATCAATTGCCGTGGAGACAGATTTAACTCTGTAGTTCAGACGCTTCTGTCGAGGAACCAGTGAACCATAAGTTTGTCCAGTTTCAGTTTCATTTTAAATGTTTAATTCTGTGCATGTTTCTAGAGTGTAAATAGTTGAATTATTAAGTCGTGAAGTCGTTAAAAATCCACCAACACCTTTCCATCACGACACTGCCTTCCCTCTTCACTAAGAATTTTTACCTGGATGATGTTTCCACCAAAGGTTGCCCTCAGTCCCTGCTGTTTGGGATAGTAGAACTCGTCGTTGGAGAGGTTCCACGGATCCTTTATCTCAGGTTGTGACATGTTCTGAAAAAAAAAGGGAAGGAAAAAAAAAACGTTAGTCAAACTGCGTATGGTAACTGTCACTGATTCTGATTCTGTTCGGGGCGAGGTTCAACATGTGGTTTACGTGACGTGTATGATTCTTCACACCTGCTGAGGTTCGTCCTTTATCACTCCCGTCTTTCCCAGCAGGATGCGGCTCTTCTTCAGCGCTGGCTCTTTCTTGTTTTCTTTGGACGGTGAGTGCGAAGTCATTTCCTCTTTTTCGTCTGGAATTTCTAAAACGACGGTCATCGTCGGGTGTGCTCATCACATCAATTGCCGTGGAGACAGATTTAACTCTGTAGTTCAGACGCTTCTGTCGAGGAACCAGTGAACCATAAGTTTGTCCAGTTTCAGTTTCATTTTAAATGTTTAATTCTGTGCATGTTTCTAGAGTGTAAATAGTTGAATTATTAAGTCGTGAAGTCGTTAAAAATCCACCAACACCTTTCCATCACGACACTGCCTTCCCTCTTCACTAAGAATTTTTACCTGGATGATGTTTCCACCAAAGGTTGCCCTCAGTCCCTGCTGTTTGGGATAGTAGAACTCGTCGTTGGAGAGGTTCCACGGATCCTTTATCTCAGGTTGTGACATGTTCTGAAAAAAAAAGGGAAGGAAAAAAAAAACTAGTCAAACTGCGTATGGTAACTGTCACTGATTCTGATTCTGTTCGGGGCGAGGTTCAACATGTGGTTTACGTGACGTGTATGATTCTTCACACCTGCTGAGGTTCGTCCTTTATCACTCCCGTCTTTCCCAGCAGGATGCGGCTCTTCTTCAGCGCTGGCTCTTTCTTGTTTTCTTTGGACGGTGAGTGCGAAGTCATTTCCTCTTTTTCGTCTGGAATTTCTAAAACGACGGTCATCGTCGGGTGTAAATGTTAGAAAAATGTTAAGAGAAGGAGCGATGGTTTGAAAACTGATTTTTGGTTTTCGGTCTAAACTACCCAGGATGATATTCTCGTCGTTAGGATCCAGTGTGAGAACAGGCGGCATGAGGAGGTGATCCATCTCCTGGTCGTCCCAGATGATGTTGTCCTCCCAGCGTCCGTACACCAACTCTTCGTTGTCGATGGGAAAAATGGAAAACCAGGGACAGTCGTCTTCGTGCGAGGCTGCAGTGACGGAGACACAAATAAACAAAAAGCGAACATTTAAAAATATATATAATGATAAGCTTTACATTTTTGATGTAAAACGAAAAATAAAAACAACAAAAAAACTCACTCTGACTATCGTGGATGTTTTTGTCCCGTTTGGAAGCAGAGAGTGTGGAGGCCTTGGGCATGGGGGGAGGCGTGGGAGGCACCAACTGGGAATTACTCCTGACCAGACCTACAACACAGGTCAATTTTATTTTAAATAAATAAATACTAAAAATCAGTGTTTTGGTCTTGAGATAACAGTGACCTTTTTGACCTTAGAAACACAACAATAAACAAACACTGTATCGAGCTGTGAAACACAGTAGAGGCAGCGTCAACCGTTAGGCCTGTTTTGTTTTTGTTTCCTGAACAGGAAGTCATGTGGTGTTAAATTACTAGATTAATTAATGCATTAATCAATAAAACAGAAAAATAAATCTGGACCAATGGGAACAAAGACGACCAGAGCCAATCAGAGCTGAACTAATGAATTAAAATGGAGGAGAGATGAAGTCGAGTCTAAACCGACACAAGTTAAAGCGTCACTTTCGTCTTCCTGAGATCGCACCTTGCTGAGCGTTGTAAGCGTTGGCGTTGCGTGTCATGCTGGACGGCAGCCATCCAGCCAGACTGGCTCTCTGAGTCTTGGTGCCTTTGTGTTTCACGTCTTCTCCGTTCCAGATGATATCGTCCTCCCACTGCAGCTGAGTGACCATCAGGAAGAGCTCGTTCTCCAGCGCCGTCTTTTCTTTGTCCCTCTCTTCGTCGTCCCTGACGTCGCCGCTGTCATCTAGAGTCTGGACCTGGAGATTTAAAGCCGACATAGTTAGTCCACTTCCTCACACTCACTTCATCACCAGTTTTGTGCCGGCGTCCTGATCTAAGTACCTCCAGCACAGGCTCTGGGATTTCTTTACACGGTTCCTGCGCCGGCTCTTCACTGGACGACTTTTCCTTTAATTTGAACCCGTAGTTGAAGTTGCTTCCATCTTCGGGGATTCCCAGCATATCGTACCAGAGCTGAGCCGGTCCGTAGCGCCACTCTGCGACTCTGGGCCGAGACTCGATCTCCTTGTCCCCATCGCCACAGGTCTGTGAAAACTTGGATTCCACTGGAGCCATCATGGTTATCTGGATAAGACGGGTTAAAAAAAAAAAAAGACATTACTATAGAGCAGACCTTAAAGCAGTGATCAACTGTTGGCCCAGGGACCAAAGCTGGCCCACCAAATCATCCAATCCATGACTGGATTCCAAAATAAACATTTAATAATAATGTGATTTTTACTCCATGTTATTAGAATGTCCTACTGAAACTACAGTCCAGCCCTGCTTTAGAGTGACAGGACGCCCTGTGGACAGGTGTCTTGTAAGGTTTACCTCGTCATCAGAGAGACACTGCTCTGGAGGAGGAGCAGCAGCGTATTCGTAAATCCACCCAGACTTCTTCTCCTCAGCCTGCTCCGTGGCCTCTCCCTCTGGAGGAGGTGTTCCAGGTAAAGGGTCCCGGTGTTTCCGCTTCTTCTTCCTGCGAGCGCTTCTCCACACAGACGGCATGCTCTTCCCAGGTCCGAACAGACGCAGGAACCTCAGCACCTGAGGGTATCCATGCAGGTATTAGATGTCAAAGCAACAACAGGGAACAATATTGTTCAGTGAGTCTGAAGTTGAAGCTCGTTGAGTGTGAAGCTGCGTTACCCGTCCAGGTCTAAACTCTGGGAAAAGCTCCGTCACACCCGGCAGCGCCTTGGCTGCATCTTTCTGCATGATACCAGCGAGTGGGAGGGTGAGCCTGTCTGGTGACCCCGACCCGGAGCCCTGACAGGGACGATCGGCCTCTGACTCGGAGTCTGAGGAGCTGCTGAAGTCCACTTTCTCAGCAGTAGAAGACGGTGCGATAATGGAAGGCAGGATGATCCCATCTCCCTCCTCCGCCACAACTAGAAACCGACCAGAACAGACGTGAAGTTAAATCCTGTCACCAGTTTGTAGATGCAGATTTGTTGAGTTATCTCATTGGAGAGTTAAACCTTCGACTGTTGGATCGTCCGTATCAGCAGAGAGTCAAACGTCCTCCCCCTTCCTTACCTTCCTTACCATTGGTGGTCTGACACACAGGTTCGTCCTTCTTCACAGGTGTGGACTGATTTGGAGGCGGTGGAGGAGGCATGAGCTTAGAATCGATATCTTCACAGTCTGCGTCATAGTCATCGTCATCATCTGGGATGAAACAATAATTTAGAGGAAAGTTTAGGCCCAACTCAGCATAAAGCTGGTCCACCTACAATAGAAATGTATTTTCTTTCACCAAGACTTATTTTCTAAAAGAAACAAAAATGTCCTCAAGCCACATATTAGCCACTAAAAATATCATTCAAACAGGAAAGAGGAGAAGGAGTCAAATCTTCAGTTTGCTGTTCATTTACCTGTTTTTCTGTTTGGCTGTAAAGAGCCCATGGCCTGACGATACTTCCTGGGCTCGTCCTCAGCCACTTCAGTGATGTCAGAATAATCAACTGCATCGTCGGTGCTTTTCACCCAACCTGAAAAAATAAAATCCAACATGAGACACTATTCTGCTCCAATGTGCACAAACGAACACTACGTTCCTTCACATACCATCTGTATCCACACCACCAGAGTCTCTGCCGTCCTCTTCATCCTCCTCATCATCATTGGCTGTGATCTCTGTAATGAGTGAGCCTAAACCCAGGGTACCTAAACCAGCGAGATGCTTTTTCGACTCCTGAAACAAAAAGAAATGATCAAAATACGTTAGCCATCATTAAAAATATAAAAAACTAAAATATTTTGGTTTTCACAACAAAACTTTCTGAAAAAAAAAACTGACATCCCCATGTCCCCTGTCGTCCTCCAGTTGTCCATCTTCATTGATGTTTCCAAAAAGAAAACCAGTGATGGAGAAAGGACGGTCTTGATCTTCATCACTGTCCGAGTCCGACATCCTGGAAGGTGAAAAAAATAACAAAAAAGGCCTTTAGACACTAAAACGCAACATTATATACTTTAAGCTCATCTTCTTGTTTTTAATAGAAAAGCACAATATTATCCATGTGAAAAGGAAACGTGAAAAAACGTAAAACTTGTGGACAAAGTCAAAACTTCATGGTCATAAACTTTCGCTCAGAATAAACAATTATTAAAACGTTTCTGCAATAAAATTCTAAAGTATAACTTCTTGTTTTCATCGAGTTCATATTTATAGTTAGTTTAATAGTTTTATTGTTTATTCGGGTTTGAACGTGTATGATGTAAATACGCCCCAACATAAACATTAGCTCCGCCATTTAACACTGGACTATCGCGTTTACTGCATTTTACTAACAAATTAAATGACACTAAATGTTGAAAAGCGAGTTGATAATTTAAGACTTCCACTTACCTGACGTGACTCCGCTTCTAATCAGTAGGTTAGACTTTATCCAGCCTGACGCTTTCACTTAAGGCTTAGCAATCGCTTGCTAGCCTCCTGGAGCTGCACAACTGTGATAAATATCTGCTGAACTACAGTTGTTTCTGTACACGCTTCGTTCCTATCAAAGCGATAGCGTGTAGTTAAATGTTTATTACAATTAGCGCAAATAACAGCAGTCGAAAACACGTCTGATTGGCACTAAATCGTGTTTATTTTGGTCTCTACCACTGCCAGAGCGATGCTAGCATCACTAGCTGGCGGTACGGTACGAGTGACCCGGAAGAACAATATGAGACGTTCAGGGACTGTTAGGAAATTTGCTGTATACGAGATGGTCATTGTGACGTAGATTCTGTGTTATTAGAGTCCATTTTCTATGTAAACGTCAGTGACTGTTAGAAGGAACATTAATATAAAAGATAATGGCACGAAGTCCCAACTGAAACCAAATGGCTTCTTGACGGCAAAGGTTGAATGAACGAATACGAACACGGCGACAAAGACATCAAGGGAATCTGGAAGAAGCACTTGTTGAAATCGATTTTTACTATTTTCCTTTTTTTCCCCCTTTTTTAAACGATCGTGTTTGTATAAATAAACTTTGTTCTTTTTTATAATAAAGTATCGTGCGCGTCATTGTCGCTGTAAAATGGGTTAAGAGCGACCTCTATAGACCGCCCTACCAAACAGTTTACCCTGTCCGTTACACATTAATAAAAAGATCGGCGGCTTATTTTAATAGGAAATCCACCCCGGGATTTTTCAATATGGAACCACTAGAGTGACACGGGGAAAAACTTATAAGTTTCAGGTGAACAGAAACGTTTATTTATTTATATTTTCCCCATGTCCCTTTAGGGGCTGCGTATTTTTCCGTAACGGGGTTCGGTTTGTCAAGTATTTCTTTGCTTCTCCATCAGTACCTTACCTTAACCATTCAAAACCCGTATACAAATAAAAATAAAACCAATAAAGTTGAACTCACATCATCATTTTTGCCAGTTTTAATAATTTTTTAAAACACTTTGGAAAAAAAGTACAAAATTGATCCTGGATGCCACAGTATGAAAGCAGCCCATCGATGTAAGGTGAAGGGTGTGTGTGTGTGTGTGTTCTGTTTTTAAAAATCCTCTTCTACTGACATGATGATTGTGACCGGCCTCACCATATACATACTGCACTCACTAAACAGGTACAAGCAACAGTTTAAATACAATGGCCGACCCCAGTGATACATTTACAAGTGATTCTTAAAAAAATATGAAATAAAAGGAGAGAGGAAAAAAAAAAGAGGAAACTTTTGACCACCACACCATCTGGCAGTAAAACCATGCAGTACGACCGTTCCACCAGAGAGAAACAGCAAAGTACTGTGAGCTGTCACACAGTGAGAGAGCGCAGCCAAGAGGTGTCTCTTTGTCAGACAGTCTTTCAAAGTGTTCATTGGTTTTTTTATTGTGTGTTTGTAACAGAGAGAGACCCAGAGAAAGTTTCTACTGTTGAGCAGCAGCTTAGTGGTCACCTTTCTCTCGTTTGCATAAATTATAAAATTGCACGGGGTCTCCGCTGAGGAAAAAACCCGTCTTCCACAAGTCGCATCCATTTAGAAAAATATAACTAACTGCTATTGAAAGAAAACCCCAAAAATTCAGGGTGTTCTGTATCTATGTTGTGAGGAAATAAAAAAAGGCTAAGAAATACGGTTGAATAAATAAATCGCATGATATCCGTAAAAACCAGGTGGACAGGTCATGATCCACGTGTGAACACCATGCTTTTTTGTTTTGGCCCGGCAGTGTTTGAAAATGAGAGCTCCCCTCTCCGCTCCACCACATCCCAATAACCAGAAGAGACGTTGACGTAAAATATCTAAAACCTGTTGACGTGTAGAGAAAGACCGGTTCAACATTTCTTTCCCCGTGTACGACGTGGCCTCTGGAGTAAATAATCAATGATGGTGACGGAGACTTTCAGAGCTTAACACCAACGAAGCGTCCACCCTCTCGTGGGATCCCCTCCGGCCGACCTAATGTTATGGCAACAGCAGGGAACTTCCTGTCCGGTCAAACTTTTTTCCTTTAGAGAGAGCGGCCACTTGTTTCATCAACTCCCTGTTCTTGGACTGTGGAGAGAAACGAAACAGAGTGAGATTCAAGTGCTGGTGATCAAGGATAATGGAAAAATCCAGACGTTCACCAACCAACGATGGCGGACGCTTGTCGTTTGTATAACGTGTACATTTGCTGTGTTTGTTTTTCACCTGTTGCTGCTCCATTGCTTCTTTGTGCGACTTCTCCATCTGATTCATCTTCACCCTCATGTTGGTTTCCTGATACTGAAAGTCGGCCTTGAGCTCAGTGAGCTGGAGCAGAGATTTATAATCAATACATCATCAAAATAGTCCATGGTCACCGGAAGGTCAAGTGACGCCCTACCTTTCGGTCCTTCTCCAGGATGGTCTGATCTCTTTGCTGCAGGAGTCTCTTTAGTGACATCACTTCCTCTTTGAGCTGGCTGATGAGGATAAAGTTGTCTGTCCCTCCACTGTCCATAGACTGAGTGATGGAACTGCTGAAGAAGACACGAGGAAAACACATCAGTCCATGTTCTAGCTTCTGGGATTATACAGAACAATACTGATAAACAATCATAGTTCATCGTCTTCCACACCTGTCTCCGTTGGATGGCTTCATCTCCAGTTTTGGTTTCTTCTTTGGAGTCTCCTTCTGGATTGAAGACGATTTATGGCTTCACAGAAACATTGGAGACCAACAGTGTGAGCTTCAAATGCCACAAATAAACCGTTTTTAAATAAACAGTGTCAGTGAAAAAGATTTGGTGGAGTTTTACCTCTGCTTCCACAGTCCCTGCTCCTGCTCAGGGCTCAGACTCCCACTCAACCTGTAACGGACGGAGGAGATTGGCAGCACGGCAAACAAACAGACAGCATCCTGGATGAAAGTCCGGGGGGTGGGGGGGTGACTTACTTGTGGTGAGAACTGCTGTGCCTATGTTGGTGTTGGTGATGATGGTGAGGTCTGGAGTGGTGGTCTTTCTCGTTTAGGGACGACGAAGAGTTGGAGGAGCCGAAGCCCTTCCTCTGCTCCTTGGTCTTCTGCAGGACACGGCGGTAGGACAGAGTGCAGAGCCAGCACAGTAGTTTTCCGTCCACCTGTAGGAGACGGGCGCTGATGATGGTCTGAATCACATGACCAGTGGCTAACCTGTCTATAGGTGCGTCTGTTTTATACCTTTCTCCTGCCCTCCTCCTTCCTGTCGAAGGCGCACTGCTGTTTGCACTGCTCGCAGGTCTGTGGAGGTCCGTATTTCTTCTCTGAGTTGGTACAACGCTGACACTTTGTCCCGATGAACGCTGCAATGATGTTACAGTACTGACAGGGCTTGGGCTGCAAGGAACACAAACGACACATCGGTGAATTTCCCATAAAAAAAATGCCCCAAAAGTTTTAAAACAGTTCTGTAACTTTAAATCCTATTGAGACTAAAATAGACAGTAATGCAGGAGGAGGGAACACACACCAACCCGTGGTGCTTTTATTTCACACTATAAACTCTAGTGAAGAAACAATAAGAGACGGATGTGACTCACGGTTCCAAACTGTTTGACATTCTGGGCACATTTCTTGCAGATCGTATTGGTTTTGCTGTAAAAGACAAACTGATATTCAATACCCAAAATAATACACGGTTAACTAGAGGTAACTAGATGTGAAAATGTGGAACTGCCTACCTTTCCTGCTGGAATTCAGATCGGCAGTACGTGCACTTCACAATGGGGTGTGCGATGCGACACTCCTATAAATCAGAAAACACACAAACAAAAGATTTGTTGACTTAGATGTGGTTTAGAGATCACAGGCACCGACATGAGACAAAGTAAAGTAAAACAAACTGGTCTGTTTGTCAGATTCAGTTAGCACATTATTAAATCAGTGATGACGTCAACACCAGGGTCAAACACTTGACACCTGATGTGTGGCTCAGTATTTAGGGATAAACGTTTTGTTTTGTTTTTTTGCCTCCACCCTAAATCAACAGGTGTTGTTTTCCTGCCTTATTGATCACTTGAACATCACACTTCACTTTTTTTTTTTTTAATGAGCCGTGTTTTTCTGAAGCTCTGCACGAGCATCGATCTTCCGGTTTGGTTTAATTTTAAAACTTATTCTTGTTGTTTTTACAACAGTGGTAAACATTGTTCTACTATGTTGCTCAGTAATGTTCGTGTGAACTAATTAGAGTTTCTTAGTCTATTTGCGCGCACAGTTTTGTAAGGACAAAATGCTGTTACATAATCGGAGCTGGACTAACTTGCTGCATGCCGGAAAACAGCATCACGCCCTGACGAGGAAAAAGGGAAAAAAAACAACAACAAAGTTGTGTCTTCCAGCTCGTGGCTGTTTTGTTTCTTCTCACGCGGGACATACCTTGCACAGTTGCTGGCCCTGGGACAGCTCTTCGAAGGGATACCGCTGGTTACACTTGGTGCAGGCGTACAGAGCCGACGTTGCCATTCTCGCTGCCAAACTCAATGTCACCGAGCTCGAAGAAGCTGTGGTGTCGTTCCCCTGTTCACTGGAGGCTGCAGTGGCGCCGTCACCTTTCCTACCCGCCTGTTAATGGAGACCTGAGAGCGCACGGAATGCTGGCATCCAGCGTTAGCTAGCGCTAGCACGGAGATAGCTGTTAGCAGCAGGGAGCAAGCGAAGAACAATAAACTCCAAAATATCCAGGCTTTCGCGGATCGAGTGCTGCCCGAACGGGCTGGGCTGATGTCGCTTGGTAGTTTTCCCTTCACATACGAACCACTTTACCGCTAATCGGCTGGTTGTAGCCGGGTTCGAATGTATCCTCGCCGAGAAAGGTATTTTCCTGTTTTCCTTCTCTCTTTTTGTATTAACGCCGTCGTCATGTAACCGGAAGTGGCATACACGTCTCAACGAAAAAGGAAACCTATCGCGACATTTTTGTTAGCGGGATTTACAGTTTAAAATGCTCCAAACCAATCAGATTTCTCGGATTATTCAGTTCGGCTCGGTCCGGCTAAATTCGGCCTCCCGCTAAGCAGTACATTATTAAAAAAATATCAAAAATACTCGTCATTTATGAATATGTATCGTTTTACAATATTTAATACATTTATGAATATGTATCGTTTTACAATGGGAATGTGCTAATCACTTTTTCTAAAGGCTAAAATCATAATTTAAATTAAATACAATTTAGAGGATATTTTCTTAATAAAACCAACAATACTTACTGATTACACTTCTTTTTCATAATTCTTTCTTCTTTTTAACAATTTGCAGAATAAAGTGTGACCTAACGTAGTGAAATCAGTCAAAATATAATAAAAAAAAACTCATTTCATGAAGCTTAGTTACATGTTTATTGAAAATATGTACATACACAGTGTATTTAATGATAAACCTTGGCAATTAAAAGCCTTAATGACTATTATCTTTTGGTGTTACTCTTTATCATTCAGAGCAAGGCACGTACAGTCATTAGGATTCGTTGAGATAAAAATTTAACATAACACATTATATCATCATCTTAACGTTGACGAGGAAGGTTAAAAACATCAGCAAGAGAGTAAATGTTTGAGTAAATGTTAGCAAATATGAGGCGGCCATTTTCTTTTGCATATTACGTTCAGTCTATTGACATTGGAGGGGGGGGCGCAGGAGGGGAGGTTGACTTTTGGCAAGTGTTTGTGAGCCATAAATAGCTTGAACTGAAGTATAATAAATAAAGCTGAGAATTTTGCAAATTGAAACATAAAAAAAACCTCAAAGACAGGAATGCATCATATAATACATTATTTCACCAACAAAGACATTTGGTCACATGGTCTAAAAGCACAACGTTGTGAAAACAACCCGACCTTTTTTTTGTTGTTGTTTTGCCTCAACGTTGACGAGCTTCAGCTACACCTGGTTTTAGTAAATGTTACAGTTTTGACCTCCGTTCAGTATTTGCAGAATTCACACGCGCTTCAGTTTAGTTGACAATAACATAAAAAAAAAGTGCAGTGAGGAACGAGGAGTTTGATCCTATAACACATACATCAGTACTGTCAACACTGACACTGGGTGAAATCTGTCAACTGTAAATGAAAACATCTGATTGGACATGGCTGTGGTCGAGCGCTTGGACACTGAAGGACAGACGTCTAAATAACAGAAACCTGCTCACTGACGCCTGGTGTTTGGGTCTGTTTATTACACCCGTAACTGTAACGAGGGTCAAACAAATGTCTGCACCGGTGTGATGGAGCGAGTGGGGGAGCCCGCCCTCTCGGATGAAGACGAAGCCGAGCGATTGGTCACCTCCCGCTGCAGCTCATCTACTCTCTTCTGGAGCTCGGCGCGCTTCGCCAGCAGCTCTTTGTGACGCTGATGAACAGGTTCCTGAAAGACAAGAACAGGGGGATTGGGTTAAACTTTAATGACTCCACACAAGGGATGGGGGGTGTCTGCTAATTCAATCAGAGACACACACACACCAATTGTGTTGCAGTAAATAACCCCGTACCTGTGGTCTCATGCGAGGGTTCCAACGGATGTAGTAGCCAACCCAAAGCTCCAGGTGGCGTAAGCTGACCACAGGAAACAGCACATGGTTGGTGTAGTTGACAAACAGAGGATTGGTGAACTCCTCCAACTGGCTGTTGACGTAGGACCACAGTGACACCGTCCTCTTAGGAATCTCCTGAAAGAAAATACAGAAAAACCAAAGGTGAATATGTGTAAAATGATTAATATTAAAGTTCTGTTTTCATGTGAATCTGTAAAATCTCTGAAGTTCTCCTACTTCCTTCATTCTCTGCTGTTCACTGTTACACAGGAACGTCCCAAACAGGCAGCTGTACAGATGGTCCAGGATGGTCACCAGGAAGTACTCATTAAACTCAAAGGCTGCGGGAAACTGGAAGGAAAAAGAAGAATTATTTTAAATAATGAAAAAAAACAAAAAACTAAATAAAGTCTTCCTTCGTCAGAATTATTTTGAATAATGAGTGAAAATATATAAAACTAAATAAAGTCTTCCTTCGTCTTTCTGGAACCTTCCGTGCCCACCTGACGTGTCAGCTGCCAGACGCAGTCGATGAACTGGATGAAAACAGGCGAGCGGTCTGCGTCGGTGTGGTTTTTATCACCATGACCTATCCGCTGTGAGAGGACGGAGAGCAGAACATCAGAACTGAAGAACTGAAGAACCTGAGAACCATTTTCTCACCCACGGTTCAGAACAATGGGTCAAACCCGAGGCGTACCAGCTGGAAGCGGTGTCCGAAGCTCAGCCACTCCTTCTCCAGGAGAACCTCGAAGCCTCGAATGGTGCGGTAGTAACTGTCCAGCATGAGCATGGCCAGAGAGGTGAGCTGGGCCGTGCGGTCCCAGCCGTCGCTGCAGTGGACCACCACCGACGTTTTCCCAGACTCCACCTTGTCTGCAATCCTCAGCGCTCCGGCCAGGATCAGCTGGAAAACCATGAGTCTCGGTGAGTGAAGACTGTCTGGAGTTTCTCCTCCCTCGTTCCTCGTTCCTTACCTTGATGTGCTCCAGCCAATGAGTGGACTCCAGGTTGGACAGCCAAATGGAGTCCTCGATGTTGGGATAGACCACGTCCTTCAGCTTGCGCAGCGACTCCCTCATCACGTGGATGTTGTGGATGTCCAGGAAAAACAGCTCAGCGTTTTGATACGAATCCTCACTCTCGTATCCGCCGCCTTTCATCTGAAGGAGACAAACAGAGGTTAGAGACCACACAGTCGATTTTCCTCTCGATGAAGATGAGAAAAAAAAACCAGACTTTGTTGGCGGCAGCGTTGACACTGGGTCTGGCGTCACAAATGAAGAGTTTATGGGACTGAGCGTTGGCGTCCATGATGGCCTGAAGGTACTTCTCGTCCTCTTTGCTGCGTTTCCCGTTGACCCCGACCATCGGCTGGCTGCAGCGCGTCACCGTGGCCTGGCTCTCAGGATGGATCCACGACAGAACCTTCACACAGACGGCACAGCAGTGGTTCTCAAACTGTTCAAACTTCTCAAACCTGCGACGTCTCTCAGGCCACGAAGGCCCCTGAGGGCTAGGTTTAATACTGGGTCACGACCAACATTTTAGGCGCTATACCGCCACTTACTGTACAAAAGTGTATAGTGTCATGGTATGACCAGTGAGTCACAACTTGATGCTTCAATTGATAAGAATTATTACACATTTTTTTCACAATGTTTATAACTCACAGGTAACCTGCCCTTCGCTCTGAAGGCGGCGACTCTCCTCAGCTCTTCGTCCGGTATGTTGACAGGCACCGCCAGCGTGGACGGGTAGGTGTCACACAGCTCGTAGTGATCGTTGATCTTTGTAATCCTCCAGCTTTCATTGGGAATTCCCTTTCAACAAACACAACAAACAACCTCCTCAAACAAACGACCAAAAAAAACCCACCGTCTCCCCCTTCAGTCAAACTTCACGTACCTGTCGTTTGTACTCGGCGACGGCGTCGTACACCTTCCAGCCATTTTCAGGAAAAACTTGTCCGTATTCAAACGCAAAGATTTGCTGCGGAGAGACGAAGATCAGAACGTCAGACGGTAGGAAAACCACGTGCTCCGGCGTCAGACGAGACGCAGAGTCGCGACTCACCAGTCCGTTAGAAACAGGAAACGCAAACTTGATCAACACTTCAAAAATGGACTTCTTCAGCGTGTCCTCTAACTGTTTGTGTGCGAAGCGGAGATTGCGCATATCCTGTGAAGAAACAGAGCCGCGGGTCAGGATTATATATGAAACGCAACAATATTTTGGTTTTTAAAATAAACCAACTATTTATTTCTAATTTTCCTTATTAAATCTTATAGTGTTCTAATAAATTACTGTTTTACTGCACATTATTTTTTATATTAATTTCATACTATTTATTTTAATGATTACAACTATGTTCAAACACCCAATCATTTTGTCTATGCCAGATTTTTTTTTGTCTCTCTTTGTCTCACTTTTACTAGCTGACAATAACTGTCATTGTTGTTTTAGTCATAACTTTCTGAGAAAAAAAACAAACAGTCAACACATTAACACTCGTTGTCTCCTCACCTTGCAGACCAGGCCGTAGGACACGTCACCACGGCTCGAAGCATTTCCAATCTTCTCCACACGACTTATGACTCCGAGAGGAAGATCGAGCACAAAGGCTGGGTCCTAGGAGCCAATCGCACGTCAACAAAAACAAAACAGCTCGTGAACGACGTGTGAAATGAACGTAGCCAACTCACCCTGTCCGTGCATCTGAAGAACAGCCTGTAGTTCGACACGATCACCGTTCCCCTCAGCGCTCCAGTGAAAGGACAGAAGTAGGTGATGTCTTGTGCTGTTGAACAAAACACGTATTGTTACGTTGTGAGGTTTAATTCACGAGGACTATTTGTCCCAGAGAGTCAGAACCGATCAGACTGGACCCACCCATGTCCTGGAGCGTTTCATTTGGAAGCAGCTGCGGTTCCTCTTTGTCTGAATCCTTCACCTGCTGAAAACATTGGACATCATTTAATGTAGGAAAAAAGACAAACAAAGACAAACATGTCCTGGCCAGTCATTGTGTCTGTCCTTGAAGCCGCTGACCTTGGCAGACGTCTTGGGTTTGACCTGAAAAAAGGGCAGAAAAAAAAAACAGGTCGAGTCATGCTTCAGTCGTCAGGAACTGTTCAGACAGAACCTGTGTGAACTCGGTGACAGATACTGACCCTGAGCTCCGGAGAAAACTCTGCAGAATCAGAGGACATGGCAGAGGGAGGCTTGGCCTGAGCCGAGCGGTCGGAGCGGGAGGTGGACGTACTGCTGCGAGACAAGAAGACAAATGACCGACAGGAAATAATGTTCACGAATGTCCTCCTTCACCGGGTCGGTCTCTGACTTTGGGCTCAACGGAGAAAACAAATATGTGACTGTGGCTGTCAGTGTCAGAGGGAACGACCCAGGACACATGATCTGAGACAGATGTGTCCGATGTTGTGTCCCTAAACCCGTCCAGACTCTGCATTCATCATTACATTTATTCATTTTCATTATATTATCAGGTTTTTTTAATCTGGCAAATCACACAAACTTGAATAAAAACCTGTGCTTCTCTTGGCTTATCATAACTGAATCATAAATTAAAGAAAAAATAGTTTTAAAGGCAAATTATCCACCTACACAAATATGTAATTATGTCCTAATCACATATATAAAAAATTGAAATGCCAAATATCGACCAAACTATTTGTCGTAATGCTCTTTACGTTATTAAATCAACCACCAAAATCAAGTTCGTAGTAACTGAGTAGCTGAAACCGAAGCAACATTTCCTAAACATAATACTGGATTTTATCGATTAATCGCAGAATATCGATACGCGGTGACAGCAGTGTCCTAATTCACCGTCTCCAGGAATGCGTAGTGTCCCGTCAGATTATCGCACGGACTAAATTAGAACAACGGTTATATATAGGTCTAACATGTGTTGACGGGTGTTAGAGTTGTTTATTTAAAGTGTAAGTTTTACAAAAATAGGATCCTATTGGTTCGAAGACTGTAAAAGTTTACGGATGACAGGATGGGTGTAGCTACCTGGATAATGAATCAACACTGGGCTGTCGTGAGGTCGACCGTTTGGAGCCCAAACTGTCGACGCTGCCGCTTTTCTCCATGTTCTCCCAGTGATGCCTTTTTAACTGCGGGCAGTGAAAACGCAGAAAACTGATTTTTTTCCCCCCGGACAGAAGTTCGCAGTTAGCTTTTTCACACAGCAGTTAATCTGCACAAACAAAAGGAAGCTGCCATCTTTTCCCAGCAGCCACCCAGTACCCGACTGTCAACACTGCTTTCGAGACGGCGCCCTCTGGCGGTCTATAGTGCAGTACTCGTGACCAGCGCGTTTCCTGCACTTAGTGCATTTTACTGGAATCAACGTGTTTTCTATTTTAGAGTAAACCATTTTAACGGTTAAATCTGTTACATCTTCAATTTTTTCAAAGTAAAAATATAAATTTGCGTAAATTCACTAACTCCTAATAATTACTCATATTCAAATACTTCCATATTTGCTCAATAATAAAAGTACATACCTCCTAAAACAGCATTTGTTGAAATCATTTTCTCCAGAATAAGTTTTGAAAGTCATGTTAAACACAAGGTTTTATTTATTTTAGAAAACTGAACTGAAAGACAGCTGCTTAAAAAAAAATAAAATCACAGAGGATTTTGATATTTATTCAAAGTATGCAGGTGTTCCACTTTATATACATCTACTCACTGACCGTACAGACACTCGTCTGGTTGACATTTATTAATGAAAAAGCGTACAACAAAACTGATTAAAAACCAAAATAAAATTCAAACACACTAAGTCTTTTATTTTACATATTTCTCCATAAACTTCTTGTGAAATTCAGAGCGCAGAGTATCGTTGATAAAACGTTTCTCTTTCCGTGAGTCGTCCACTCCTTTGGCGCAGTTCTTGAAAACAACGTCATCGTCCCATCTGGGAAAAAGCACAACATTTATTTTGTTATAAATGACTTAGTTTTCTGGAACTTTCCTTATGCATGTACAGTTGTGTATATACAATATGTACAGGTAAAGAAGTACCTTCTCTTGACTTTGAAAGTGTTGATCTGGGCGGTCTGCTGCTGCTGCTGTTGTTGCTGCTGCTGCTGCTGTCCTGCCAAATTAATCAGTGGATTTCCACTCAGGATGTTCTCCATACGAATCCTCTCCTCTTCCGCTTTTTGTTCCCGTTCCTAAAATAGAAAACAACAAACAGGTTTACAAACCCAATGCAGTAAAAAGTGCATCGTTACGAACTTTGACCACTGGTCACTCCACTTCACCCTGCGCTCTTGCTCTTCAGCTCGCTCCTTCTTGATCTTCTCCAGTTCTGCCATGAGAGCTGCGCTGTCGTCATCATCGCTCTCCTCTTCAGAGTCCTCGTCTTCATCATCCTGTTGAATAAACACAATGTCTGTGGTGAGGAAGAGGCATCACTGCTGATCACGCACCGTCCATTTAGACTGGAGCTCAGTCTTACATCGGTCAGAGGGTCGTCAGCATCAAGGTTTGCTGCTGGGATCTGATCCAGTCTGGGTCTCTTTGACGATGATGATGACGATGATGAAGATGTGGTGTGTTCTGAAAGAAGGAGAGTGCTGTATTTGAAGTCACTGTTTTCAAACTGAAATTTAAGTTAAATTCTGATGAGCTCAGAGTTTTTACAGCATAAAACACTCTAACATCGGCAGAGAGACCAACCTCTTGGTCCCCTCTCTCTGGTCTTCTCACGGGCAACAACACGCTCCCTCTCCTCCAGCTCTCTGCGGAAGTCACGGGCACGCACCTCCTCAGGGGCATCCTGGGTAGGTTGTCTAAGAAGGAGAGAGAGCACATAAAAAATGAAAACAACAACTCAATCATGAATGTTTATAATGGGTCTGAATGGAAGCAGCCACTAGAACTTCTTCCATCACCACTCTGCTTGGTTCTACGTGATCTCCTGACCTGTACTTGATCTTCGTGTGACCTGGAAGATCTCTGCTGGAATACTGCTTGGAGAGGGCACTCAAATCCCCCTCTCCCTTTCCTCTCCCTCCTTTCGCCGGCTCGAACGTTGGCCTTGCAGCTGTGGTCATTTTGCCTAAGTTTGCTGTGGTAAATATTTGAAAAACAGAACAAACGTCCATAAAAGATTAAACAACAAACGCGTCCGAACAAAATGCCATTACAATTCAGATAAGTCCAACCATCAGTCCGGTCCAAAAACTCTGATAAAAGTAGCACATAAAAAACCAATAGAAGCAAGTCATAACGAAGAAGAAAACACAGTAAAGCCTTTTAGCCAATAAAAGCTAAGGCGATGCTAACAGGCTAACTTGGTTTACAAACGGTCAAGGGGAAGAAATAGGCTGTAAACGTTTGCGTTTTGTAGTTCATTTGATTAAATCTTCACTTCAAAACGTTTCTTTAATGTTGGATTTAATAAAATAGAAACAACAGTTATTTTAGAGTCATATTTAGTGTAACAATACTTACGCAGCAGCAACCACACGACAAAGCGGAAGTCTCGGTAAAACGTAACACCTTACCGATACGTCACTTCCTATGCGTGCGACACAATCAGTGGGATTAAGCAACGTTATGAGTAATGTTTTAGCTAAATATGTGTTTGTGTGGGGTTTTTTTTACAATGTTGAGAGGTATTTAGTCTTTTGTAATTTTCAGCGGTTATAATTACGATTCTTTGACGGAAAGAAGTCATTTTTGTGTAAACGCAGAGAAACGATGTAATGCAGACAAAGTACACGTGAAGAATGTAGTGGGATGGAACAGGCGAAGAACAAAGTGACGCACATTCCTACAGGGTACAACTGACTTCTGTTGTTATTTATGACATTCCGGTTTGTAGAATGTGACATAAGTCAGTGAACTAACGTAAAAGGAAGGCAGCACTGCTGTAAGGCACTTAACTGACGGGAATGTGCTGTAGTTCCAGTAAAATATGTGACAAAAATGTCACATGGAAAAAACTGATGTTGAAGTAAAAAAATACTTCCATTTTATCGTGTCCTGTGATTGATTACCACAACATCGAGAAAACATTCATAAAAGTGACTGATGTTATCTGTAGTTGATGAAGGACAATTAGTGAACGAGGTTTGTCTGGATTCCACACAACATTCAAACCTCGTGTGTCGATGTAAAAGCTGCTAATTTAACATCCATAAAAACACAATATATACAGTATAAGAACCAGCAATGTCCAGTCCATGTTATCATTTAAAAGTGTGGGGCGGGGCCCTAAGGGGACCTGGAGCTGTTGTTGCTGAGTGGCTGATATCAACAAGGCTTAATACATTTTAATTTCAATATTAATTACTTCCCTCTAATCAATGTTGCTTTCCAAAATTAATAAATTAATAAATGAAAAAAAGTTGTTACTCAAAAAACAAACAAACAAACAAAAAAGACTCTAAAGAAAGACACCTGAGATGAGGTCACTGATGTGAAATCCATCCCACTCGACCGGCCTGTGTGACAGATTCCAGGTGGATGGACGGAATGTACAGTCACTGTCGGGGGTGAGGAGGGGGGTGGGATCAGACTCAGGTTAAAATGCCTCTGTCTGCTGTCTGTCTGCCTGTGCAGCACAGACACCAGAGGTTGGACATCACTGAGCAGCAGCACAGAGACAGGTGAGGAAACTCACTGCGGTGGAGGGATTTTCACTCTGCATTCACAATCATCACGTTCATTGACTCTGTTGGGGGTCAGGGCTCATCACGGAGTCAGAGCAGCTTTCATTCTTCTCTGCATAATGACTCTGACCCGGTTAATTGTTGGTGGCGCGTCTCCAGAGAGAGATCCATCATCAGAGATTAAAATATTATCTGTGGGCTAGAAATGTTAACACAGCAGCAGTCAAACAACTGTAGAGAGGACGGACAGTCAACGGTAAATACTGTAAAGTCAGGTTATAGTATGGTGCACATATATTTGTAAAATAAAAATCGGAGAGCCATTATTTATTTTTGTGTTCTTTGTAGGTTTAATTGAACTTTGTTAAACCCTTCGTAGTTTAAATATAGAAAAACTGTTTCCGCCCGGTCTCGAACCGGGGACCTTTCGCGTGTTAGGCGAACGTGATAACCACTACACTACGGAAACATGTAGCTGTCGTTCTCATAGTGAAAGACTTAGCCCGATTAATATTTTAGTATATTTTTAATTTAATTGATTGAATAATTTAGAATCACTGTTTTGACGAAATTACTTTTATAACGTTCGAAGATCAGAGGGGGGCGCTGTTTAGTTGTTATGGTTTGGTTCGCCCCCAGTTAAAGAAAAAAAAAAAAAAATGGTAAAAATGTTCTGAATTCGTCGTCACAGTGAAACTACGATGTTTCCCCGCGACAGAACAGAATGCAGTTTCACAGGTTCACTCCAGTCTCTGCACCGACAACTATTATTATTATTATTATATTTACAAGAACCTGGAACTATGTTAACCTGTAATTTACCGTAGTCAACTCACCAGGAACAACAATAATGGTTTTTTTCAGCAAATATTTATTGTCAACCTGCCATAATATTATCTTTTATTACCGCCATTTAGCAACACAGACGTATTTACATATTTTTACTGTTAAACACCTCGTGTTTGATATAACTATAGCTACATATCATACAGCCATTTTAGTGAATGTATAATTCATATTTTTTATTATTTATTACTTTGTTGCTATTGTTGTTGTTATTTTTTATTTAATTTAATTATTATTATGATGTTTCTATTGCTGATTTCTTGGACTTTAACTGGTTCCAGAACATACACGACAGAACAACAACAACAACATTTTGTTTGAACGCACAGTGAATCACACCTGACTGTCATTTCATTTTCATTTTAGTGACTGGTTTATTGTCAGGCAGAACTTCAAGAAAACTCCAGAACCATGTCAAGAGGTAAACCTGAACTCTAAATGTGTTTTTTTTTCTAATTTAAATTGTGAAGGATTCTTTTGATGTTCAGTTCCCTCCGTCACCTGCTGTGTGTGTGTGTGTGTTAGATATTGACAGAAGCCAGGTGTTAAAAAACATTCTGACTCTGAATCCACTGAGGGAAGATCACAGCTGGATCCAGGGAGGGAAGAGGAACAAAGACCCGGAACCACAGAGGTAAAGTTTCCTCAAGTAAAAACAAACGTCAGGTCTTCACCGATGAAACTGCAGGTGAACCAAAGACATCTGAGATCAACAGACCATCTCCTGTCCCGCAGAACAGAGGCTGCTGTGGCCAGGAAGCCCTCGCCGGTCAGACAGAATTCCTACGTCCTCTCGGCAATCAGGAAATTTGAGTGAGTCCACAATCAGATTTGATGTTTATGTCTCACTTTTATTATTATTATTTAAAAAGAAAAAAAAAAGAAACAAACAATATAAAGAATAAAAACCTGATGGATCATTTTCTCTTAGCACCACACGGGGGCAGAAGTGGTCAGTTCTCTTTACTCTTTCCAGATCTGGCCCACCAGAGCGTGGTTGTAGAGTCTGTTTTCCAGTAACTACATCTCCCATAATGCACGTCACCTCCATGACCCACCTGCTGTGGAGCCACTGGGCCGTTTAATTAATGTCAATCCTGTTTGACCCACGACGACTGATTTAAACCTCCACCTCGGTTTAAGAGACAGAGAACGTTCGGATGGATGTGATGTTTCCAGTTGGTTTTTATTGGCCTTGTATCCAAACCTGGCTTCACATTCACCTTCAGTCAACACTGGTGAATGGAGCTCAGCACATAAACACAGACGACATGTTGTGTTTGGACTTCATATCACAGCAGCAGAGGTGAATAGGATTTTCAATGAGTTTGTGTTATTTATGGAGGTGATAACAGCAGGCAGCCACCAGGGAGCGACATTAAAACCCTCTGGTCTAAATATAGTCATGACAGGGACCAGACAATAGTTTAAAGCACAGACATTAGCTTTAATCTCCTTTTCTTTCCAAATTTTTTTTTTTTTTTATAAACTGAGGCCGGACACGGAGCGTCGTAACACTGAAACACATCGTGGCCAAGAACTGATTAACAAGTGATTTTTTTTTTCATCCTTGTGAGCGGATAAAGAGCGCTCTCTGCAGGACCACTGGCTCCTGAGGGGTAGAAATGACTGACTAAATCTCTGCTAATAATGAGCTACGAGGAGACTCCAGCAGCTGTGAGGTTTCCTACGGTGTGCACCCCCGGTGCTGAAATGGCAAAAGAAGGTCCGGCTGCTGGGCCCATGCTGTGCGATGACATTAAATGGCCCTCGTTGAGAACAAAGTGGTTCAGTGGGTAGATGCCACATTTCCTGAAGCCGTCCATGACAACCCTGGCCCCCTCCTCCTCCTTCAGCGACTGATAAGATCCTTTAAAAACACTGGAGAACTCCTTCTTGCTAATTGCAAAGTGAGTGTCGGAGGCACATCCCTCCCCCAGCCGTGCAGCGAACCGCTGCCTGAGGAGGACAAACAGACCCGCGTTGAGCGGCTGCAGGATGTGAGAGCAGTGAGGCGGGAGGCACAGGAGGACCACGTTCTCCTTACGAGCCACCTCCACCACCTCCAGGTTCACGGGCGACTTGTGGCCGTCAAAGATCAGCAGCAGGGGGCGCTGCTTCGGTGCATATGGCAGAAAATGCTTGAGGAACCACTTCTTGAAGAGGTCAGAGTTAATACAACCGGAGTCGGACCACCCATAGAGGGCGTTCGGGGGGCCCTGGGTCTTGTAACACACTCCTCCAGGATAGGCTTTGGAGTAGACGATAAACGGGGGCACGTCTTCGCCAGAGGCGTTGAAACAGGCTAAGACAGAGATGTGGTCTCTCAGACTGGACATGGGTTTGTAACCCAGACCACCGGTTTTGGGGAGAACGACCCTCTTCCTGCCCAGATGAAACCCGGTCTCGTTACAGTTGAAAATCTGTTGCGGTTTGTCTCGGAGCCCGTGAGCGTCCAGGACGGTGCTGAGAAGATGGAAGAACTGGTCCACGGCCTCCTTCCTCACGCACACCGTCCTCCCGCGGACGACGCTGTCGGCTGGTTGGATGGTGATGTTCTTCTCCTGTCGTTTCCTGAAGTTCAGCCACCACGTCTGGCCCAGTTTGGAAAACGCTACCCTGCGATGCTGCCGCTTGTAGATGGAGGAGGCGAACGACACCAGCTGCTGTTTGGTCAGAGGGAATCCGTGTTTGGACATGTAGACGGAGAACTCCACCAACAGCTCCTCATCTGCAGACTTTATGAGCTGGGCTGGACCGCTGCGGCTGCCCGGTGTCACCCGTCCACTCACTCTGTCCCCCAGTGAAGACTTGGGGACTCCAAACTCCTTGGCAGCCTGTCTGACGGTGCACCGCCCCGACTTCACCTCCATCAGCGCACGCTCCATGGCTTCCTCCGTCCATTTCTTTTTCTTCTTCCTTCCAATTTTGTCCAGATGGTTTCTTGAGGGCATTCTGTTTTCCACGAACAACACAACAAAGACAGACACAAAAAAAAAATCAATGAAACACATCAATCGAAAAGTATTCTACGGAATTTTCAAAAGGTTCAACAGCAACTGAAACCAAACTAGAAACGACGCAGCTCAAAGTTGTCAGATAAACTCTGATGACACTGACAGATCTCAGATCCTGGCTCTAATAAACCAGTCTGATCAGTTCAGGAACAGAGAGATGTGGTCATCGAGCTGCTGTTATTCAGTCCAGGACGGACCAGCCTGCTCTGAATGATTGCCGGGGAAAGTGGCGATCAATCATGGACGACATCTGACCTTTTGCTGCTGTAAGAAGTGCATCACAAGCCTGGTGTCAATAAAGGCCAATCTAATCTAATCTAATCTAATCTAATCTAATCTAATGCTGTCTAGTTTTAGATCCACATCAGACTGGGTCCACGTGAAGAAACTTAAAAACCAATCTGGAACTGCACCGTTTTCTGGTTATATTTGAGTCATGATGTACTGGTTTATGACACTGATGAGTTCCTGAAATGTTCTCAGAAAATCAGAGAAAATTACAGACTTACGACTTTTCACAACCTCTAGGTCAAACATTCTAAAAAAAACAGGGTTTTGCTCCCGCAACCTTTATTTCTTCACACATGTAGAGCTGTTGGTGCAAATGTATAGTTAACCTGTGATGGATCCTGAACACAACATAAAACATCACATGAATGAAAAGGTATAACAAATTATCGTAAACAAAAATCATTTTAAACTATTTTTTGTACTGATTTTTAAAGATGATTTTATTCTTTCACATTCCCTTAATTATCAATTTATAAACTCTAAATGTCAGACAAAAACACAGTTCGTTTTCCGTGTAAAGACTGTTTATCAGGATCCAAAGACTTACTTGTTCTGGGCGACTCTCAGTGTTTCACTGTTTGGACTGGTGTCTTTCCAACACTGCCGCTGTCGAAACGCGTCCCGGGGAGCAGGAAAACAAACACAAACCGTGTGAAAGTCGTCATCTTCCCGTAGCCAAAACACCTATCGTGCTCTCACCACAACAAAACGAGAGTTTACTTTTTTCTTCGCCCATTTTACAGCGTATTGTGAACAGCACCGCACGATAAACCCCGACCAGGCGAAGGCGGAAGGCAACCGGAAATGTAAAGCCGTACTCTTCAAAAGAAAAGCACACCGAGTTCCGGTTTTAAAAAATAAGTTTGCAGCACCAAAGAGGAGTAATAATAGAACTTTAACTTTAATTTTTTTCTTTTTGACTGGATGCTTGTTTGTGGTGACGTCAGTGCACGTATACCATCGATAATCATTTACAGAATACAAAAGCTCATATGCTAACACAACCATCGATAATCATTTACAGAATACAAATGGCGTTTTCTTTGTTTGTTTTAATAATAAATGTAAGGACTCCTGCAGTAAGCATCCACAGAGAACCGACCCACAGAAGACAAACTGTTTTAGAACCGAAACAAATTATTATAGATCGGGGGGAAAACCCAGGAGAAATGTTCCAAACAGTGACAAATGTAGGAGAGTGAACAATAAAACGGTGGAGGACGGTTGAGTTTAATTGGAATGAGATACAGTGGCGAACAGTGTGCAGTGTACAGTGAACCCTGCACCTTCACCGAGGAGGTGAGGGTTAAACTCCCAGTGTTTAATCTCTGTTCATCTGAATCTAAAGTGGCGACATTAAAATGCGACGTTTATATTCAGCCAACGGTTTTGTAAATATCACGTTAACTGATTAATGCAGAACCAAGATCAACCATTAACTGATTAATGCAGAATCAAGATCAACTCCACCCCCCCCCCTCCACTTAAATGTAAAGTGTTTGCAAATGTGTTTTTAACTCTCTCTCTCTCTCTCTCTCTGTCGTGTTTGCCCTGCAGATCAGCAGATTCTTCACGCGACGCTCCCGTGGCACAGACATCTGCAGGGTACGTCAGCTCCTGGTTGAGCTGAATTTTAATTGAAAATAAACCGTGCGAACCAAACGCGGCTGCGCACAAAGCCCCGATTTAAATGAATTTGTGTTTTTTTTAAGGTTTGCATTATTTATCTCAGTTAAAAGCCAGTCATCTCACAAACACAGAATGTTAATGAAAGAATTTATTTTTTCTGCTGTAGCAATTCAACTAATGCAGCAAATAAAGTTTCTCCTCCTCCAGTAGAAGCGGAGCCCGAGGGCCCGACAGCTGCAGCCGAGTATGTTCACCGGGAAAAATGGACTGGTTGTAAATGCGGAGACTTTTAGTGACTTTATCTCTTATTTCTCCCAAATTTAGCGCCGCTGAACATCTTTCCCAAAATGGTGACAAACGACCAGGAGAAGCTGTGGCTGATACCGTCCAGCTGAACGGAGAACGCCCTGAAGGTGGCGCTGAAGTATCAGCAGATGTTCATGGAGAAGGTTGTGACCAAAACGGTGATGCAGACAATTCTGAATCCCACCTGCCAGCTGAGAATGGACCAGGAACCTCTGCAGAGGAAAGTCCTGAGACATCTTCTCCAGAACCAGGAACAGAAGAACTGAAGTCAGAGGAAGTGCTGGAGTTCTCACCTGAAGTGACGTCAGAAGTTCCACAGGAACCCGTTCTCGACACTGTGCTGGAGGCACCGCCTCAGTTCGCCGGTGACGTCACCACCACGTCTGTGGAGGTCGGACATCCGACAGATGAAGTCCTGAAGACCACAGTGGAGGAATCGGTCGACAGTTCAAACTTCCAGCCTGATGATGTCGCTGTGGAGCAAAGTGTCGAGTCAGAACCGAGCAGTGTCGTCATCAGGGAGTTAAACATCTACGACGCGTTTGACTCTGACACTGTCGACCAATCTGATCGACCTGCCGAACTCGACGATGTGCTGGGCTCGGACCGCCCTGCAGGGGGCGCTGTTCCCGAGACTGTGACAGGGCTGGAACAATCCCAGACAGAGGAGACCAGTGAGGTAATCCCAGTCAGAGGAGACCGGTGAGGTCCAGCCTGAAGATACCAATAGGTGAGAACACTCAGAATTCATCTAGAAAAATCCCACACAGTCATCGGGATTAAATGTTAAATAAATCCAATTTTTGGTCGCATTTTTTTTTCCAGCACTGATGAGTTACAAAAACGCTGGGAGGATCTTCAAAAGCTCAGGTAACACGTCTTCTTCTTCTTCTTCTTCTTCTTCTTCTTCTTCTTCTTCTTCTTCGTCCTCATTTTCTTCCCTCTCCTCAGCAACCACAGAGATGTTTGTTCGTTCTGTGATCGAACCTTCGATGGTCCTGTGAAGCTCACACTCAGCCAACCCGCCCTGACCTGTCACCCTGAATGCCTGAAGGTGTGGATTCTTATTTTGAAACTTTCCCATCAGCCAGCCATCCTGTGTCTGACTGATTGACTGACTGATTGATTGATTGATTGATTGATTGACTGTGTGTATGTCCACAGTGCGGGGCGTGTTCCACGGTGCTGGGAGAACTCCTCCTCCCCATGTTCCTGCACGGTCAGGTGATCCACTGTGAAGGCTGCTTCTTCCAGGCTGTTTTAACCTGAACACACACACTATCTGAGCGGATCAAACCCGTCACCGCTGACCTCGGTCTAACTAACACTAACTAGTCTCCGACTTGAAGACCTTCGTTTTAACGACGTCTGGTCAGGATTTGTCAGTGAACTGTGTATCAGAAAACCATGTGACTGTGTGTGATTCAAATAAAACCACAGCGTCAGAGCTTCAGGTTTAAATGGGTTTAATTTCAAACACACAAACAAACAAACAAACAAACAAACAGTCAGACCAACGAGGCCGAGGGACAGCCGCGAAAACAGAGAGAGAGTGAGTGAAGCCTTGTCAGAAAAACTGGGTTTAAAAAAAGTAAATGAAAAACAAAATCTGCCCCGACTGCTCAGTGGGGGGGGAGTTAAACCAGGCAGAAACAGTGAGG